TGAACGCGGAAATGCATCGTGCTATGATGGGTGGTGGACCAATGCCGCGAGAAATGATGATGCACGGTCGTGGTATGATGATGTCTGATCCAGACGTTCCCGTGATGCCGTTCGGGGATGATCAGAACGAGGTACCGCGAAGTCTGAACTTCGATGACAACCTGCCTGTACCGCATATGATGCCGCGCATGATTGCAGTTCGCATGCAGGAGCCTACTTGGACCGAACGAATGGGTTACGGATTGCGTTACGTGGGCTCGCATCCGCTAGTCCTCTTGTTTAGCGTCACTTTGATCGCTCTGTGCATCTTGTTCCTCGTGCAGCTGGTGGTCGAATGCAGACGACGTCATCGTCGAAACAATCCATTCCAGGTTGGTTTTGCGTGTTCCTTGTCCCGTTTGTCGTTTTCGTATTCCGACTCCAGTCATCATCATCATCACGTTGTTATCACACTTAGTGTACAAAGCAAGTCGCTTGGGTATCCCAACCGAAAATCAGTGCTTTTAGCTCTCTGGTTGCATGCAGTGCCTAGTTGTCTGGATTTTTGTAGACTATAGAGAAATTCGTGAAAGTATAGCTTTTATCGTTTGAATCACAACGTTGATGGCACTCGTTTGAGACTATGGAACACGAACAACAGTTATGGAAGCTGCTCCCCGACTTTTCAACTTCCAGAAAACAAATAATAAAACTGCACACTCAGAATTTTAGCTATTTCGGATGTAGTCGTGTAATGGGGTTGCTAGTTTGCCTCTATGCTGTTATCCCATATTTCACTTTTATGGTGGCTTTTATGAGATCTTAGAGTTAACTGTATAAACCAGGGTTTCTTGATGCCTTTATTTATTCTCTCGCACAAGTTTGGTGCTAGAATGATGCAGTCGAACGTTTTTGGAACTTCCACCCAGATAAAATCTTCTGTACCGACCATTTCGGCTATGAATGGGTGATAATCGTATGTCTGGTTCAGTGGTAGGGCGGATCATTCGTGCTGCCTTTATTAGTTCGGTTAGCTAGTCGATGAGGCATATGGATCAAACTCTTCTTTGATTGGTTGACGAAATGTCCTGCCATTTTCGCCAGAGAAAAATATAGCAGTTTCCAGTCCAGTCGTGTAAGCAGATCATATGTGAGCAGAGATATTCCAAAGTGGAGAAATGCAGTAGCAAATAAATCGGCCGTCAACCAAGTTTCCCTAATTGCATAAAAGTTGTTATTCCAAGAGTTGACTGTTTCTTTCTTCTCTCTTTTGTGTTTCTGTATTTCGCGTTCCACCCATGGTTATTTTGGCGCATATCATCATCATCATCATCATCGTCATCATCATCATCATCACCATCGTCGTTGTACAGCGAAATACAATGAAGCGAACTTCACTGGTCTCTGTCAAACTTGCAATGCATACCACGTTAGTGGTAAAATTTAAGGTGGACAGAGAGTGGACCAATTTTGAGGGAGGGGGAAGCACGTGAACCTCTATGGTCAACACACAAAATACGCAATCGAACTCTGCATACATACCGTTTCAAGCATTCTGACTTGATAGGAAACAAGAACAACAAGAACGCCACTGATGTCGGTTCGCGGCCTTATCCATCAATGTATCCAACCAACCGGTTGTGGAGTCTTTCGGACCCCAACCTGAAAGGCGAGAAATACCTACTCTACCTAATGGCTCTGTGCAGTTCTTCATGTCTCGTCTCCACGTCATCTGCTGACCTCCACGTGGTTTCCTCCAGCCCGGATTAGCTTCGGCGAATAAAGCGCGGTGCGGCAGACGACAGCTGGGCATACGCAATACGTTCCCCAGCCAATGACGCCCACTAATCTCAATTCGGTTTACTAGTAGCTTTATTCCTGATAAACTCTCAAACACACGACGGATTATCTCCACGTTACTAACCCGGTCGCTCCATCCAATGTGGGCTAAACTGCGTAAACACCGTTAGTCGAAGCTTCTAGTCGACGGATATCTTCTACTCGCAAATTCAAGGTATCGCAATCATAAAGCAGCACTGAACAAACACTAGCACAATATACACGACCTTTCAACTTTGGTGAAACGTCGAGTCTACGCCAAAGATGTTTCAGTCCTGCGTATGCTGCTCGAGCCTTGGAAATGCGTTCGGTTATCTCTTTTGGTGCGCTACCGTCATTGGTCACGCAGCTGTCTAAGTAGGAAAAGTAATCCACCGTAACTAATTCCTGACCATTTATTTTCAGAGCGGGAGTAGACGAAGCCCAGTCCTGCCGCATCACTTTGCACTTTGAAGGTGCAAAACACATATCGAATGTGACTACTGCACTTGTTAGTCTATCCTGTGTGCTTTGTGTGTCCTCCATACATTCGAACCGACAGATGAAGTCATCGGCGTACTCTAAATCACACAGGTTCTCTCCAGTTGCCCATTCGATACGTACATTTTGGTGTCTACTTTGTGCTTCCTCCAGTATTTCGTCTACGATGCAGTATTGAATTAGTTTTATTTTATGTATTTTGTATTTTGTGTCTCACTGACCAATTTTCAAACGCCACTGCGTCTGCGGAAATTTTCTTGGAAGTCTTGTTCCTCGCGGATTAGGGGTTGTTGGCTTCTGACTCGTTTCGGGCTCGAATCATTATTTTTGCCGACCACCCGCGGTCGGCTAACAGCAGCGGGTGTTTTTCATAATCGATTCTTTGATTCTGGGCGGGAGAACTTGAAGCGAAGAGGGATACACATGGAGCTAGATAGTGTCGTTTTCCAACTGCCAACGCGGTTAAGCCTTAGTGCTTCGCTGCGATTGCTTCCTCGTTAGTATGTTGAACATGGAAGCTGGTTGACATAGTGGAAACATTTTGACCGCCGATAATCCCTCGAATAAAATTCCATTCTTTACAGTCGTATTTTTAGTTCCAGGTTGGTATGATAGCCCATACTTTCCGTTTCCGGTCGATGGAGTAAATCTCGTCAGAACCTGTTACTCAATAACGGAAACTGACTATCTAAGGCTTCGAGTGTAGAGCAGTGTTTTAGTACAACCGTTAACCATGCACTATTGTGTGCCGGTTTTGGTTGCTGTCTTTTGGCTGTCCATTTGGATGAACATTAGAAGAAAGGCAGTAAAGGTTAAAAGTAGGATCAGAGAGAAAATTGAAAAGTTCAGTGGACCAGTGATACTCGGAAATTAAGATGCACGAATGCCATTGTTTACGATAGCCAGCCATACCACTCAGTATCTCTAGCCATCGGGTACTACCATCCCGAGGTCCCTAGCCAGGGAGCCTAACGGGACCTATGTGACCCAGTCCCCTGGGTAGGGTTTTCATACCCTCATCCCAGATCTTAGCTTGACCACCCTTGACTTTCATCCACTCATTATCTGCCTAGGCGAGCATCGATCTCCGTGACAACCTATTTCGTTGCGCGATGTGTCATATGCGGCAGCGGGGGGAAGGGTTCTGCGGGCGTCCAGCAGGGCAGCCGAGGTAGACGAAAACAGCAAACTATTGCTAGAATAGGCCCGGTAGTGAACCAGGCTTCAGTTTCACGCATTCGCCTCCAACCTTTGCACAACAAAGTGCCACTGTTTCCCCTCACCAGGGTGATGGTGATTGCCTTATATAATAGCGCGTCACATACTATCGTCTACGGACATTGATGACCTTTTTGAAAGAGAGATCGCTTGTCACCCCAGAATCCGCTGCATCCTCATACATCACCGTTTGTCGTCCACCGCTGTTTATTCACTGTATCCTTGCTCACCGGTTCACAATTATCGACTAGAATTACCTTTAGATTCCAGAATATACCCATTTTGACATGAGAACACGTTCAGAGACGAACAGCTGTTTTCATTGATTTTTTTCCTAGCCTGTACAGACCATATAAGGAAACGGTATGTTGAACGAGAATGAACATTCAGTCATTCAGAAGTCACTGATTAAAAGGGAGAAGGCTGGGGACGGGGGGTGAGGGTGAGTGGTGCGACGTGTTTCACTCCACTAGGTCATCGCAACATCTTTCACATATCCGCGACCCGGCACATGTCCTATGTCTTTGTTAATCTCCGTGTTATACGGTCTCTAGTCCTCGGGGAAAAGCAGTTCGATGTTTACACTGTTTGATTTGGAGTGTATCAGGCCCTAGTGTAGGGCAATGCAAAGCGGAGAGTTGTGTGTTTGGACTGAAATAGAGCATTAAAAACTATCATTAACCCTGGGATGGGGGTGGGGTGAGTGGGAGAGGTAAAAGTACTTCAACACTGTTTGTAATACGAAAGAGATGGGAATAACCACAAGGCTGGGGAGAATCAAAATAAGATTAAACACGTTCCGAGGGGTACGAAATAGTACCTCCTAGTAGCCGATTGTGCAACCCAATTTTTCACTGCGAATCACTCGCGTTTTGCAGAAACCTCTCCGATCTGGGATCGATCATTCGGATCCCCTCAGGCCAGTGTCACGCTGCGTGGCATTTCTACGTCTCACCTATTCACGTGGTTCAACACTGACATTTCATTTTCTTTTTTTTTTTCTGTTTCCAGTACAACCAATTTGATCAATTACCGACTTACGTGGAAGCCACCATGATCAAGGTTCCCTGCGATGATGATTACAGCTCCGAGATGGTCAAGGAGAAGTCGGTGAAAGCTTGAATGGAACCATAGTTCCGCATTCCCACCTCTCTCTCTCTATGTCATTTTGCTCGTGTGTAAGTGTTTTTGTCTGCGTGCACCAGTAGGGGCTTTGTCTTGAGAGCGGTGTCTTCACTGGTTCAATTACACCCAAATTGTTCTGTCTCTGCTTTTGTCATCTTGCAGTCACGTGCAACTTTGTGCTCATGCCCCCGTGTGACATATGTCTTGTGTGTGTTGTTTGATTGTGACCTACTCACTCAACCTGATTGCTACTGGTCATCATACGCTCTCTCTCTCTCTCTCGAGCTCTCAGTTCCTTTCTCTCGTCGGTCGATTGACCAGAACGGCATTGTTGTGATATCCCAATTCATTCCTTTTCCCAGCTCGCCCTTCCCCCCATTATTCACGGGGTCGCGGTTTTGGTTTCTTTGTGTGTTTTTCCTATCGTTCCTTTTGTTTCTTTTGCTCACCTTTGCCATAATCATCTGACACGTAGCACGTGATATTGACTTTTTCTCTGTCTCGCTCAGCTGTTTACTTTGCTGCCGATGTGGTCCCAATTCTAACTGACACAAATCAGATCCGCTGTTGATCTGCAAGACTGTTTTCCGATGTCACTCGTGCGTGCTTGCTGGCTTGCTCCGTTCCTCCACATTAACGAACTGCATTTTGGGCGATGCGCTCGTCGTGTTGGAGGATAAATCATAGACTCTCGTTTTGCTCCATTTCCATTATCTTCGTTGCGCGCGTGCGCTCGCACACATCGTACTCTGTCTGTCTCTCATCCGTCTGGAGCCACACTGATGCTGTGTGGTTTATTCGTGCACAATACTAACAAGACACAATTCATATATATATATATATATAAACGCATTAGTTTATCCGTGTGTTCTCAGTGCCGCACGCATTACCTTCTCTATTTCGGTGGCTTGTTCTCTGTCTGCCAAGCCGTCTACTGAGGCGTTGTTGCACCGACTGNCACCGACTGGTTCGCTCGCTCTCCTGTTGCACTCTGTTCTGCTGCTGTTGTTCCCGGGGTTTTGGCACTGTGTGTGTGTTTGCGAGAGAGAGAAAGTGGAGAAGAAAGATATACACTGTTTCAGCATATCACGTTTTGACCCTCCAGACTTGTGCTTGTTATCGAATCGGATGTGATTGAGTGAATTGCGACTGTTGACACAGTCGTACCTTGTCTCGTTCGACGGTGGCACAGTGTCCGTTGTCTCTCGTGACTATACTTTGCTTTGTTTGGCTTGAAGAAACTGGTTTCTTATATGCTTGCCAGATCGCGGTTGCCTAGATCTCTTGACTAGTTACAACGTTGATGAGGTTAGTTTTCCACTCACGAGTGCCGAAGACTAAGTTAGTCCAGTCATGCCTTGATTTGATCCCCTCTCTCTGCTCATCAGTGGCCTCCCCCCCGCTGAGCCTGCAGATGGTCGATGTTGGTAGGAATGAAAGGATTTGTCAAACCAGTTTTTTTAGGATTACCTTGAAGCACTAGTGATCAAAGCCATCGTCTCATATCCTCAGCTCTTGATGACCAGCTTAAGCAGATTACTGTGGAGGACATCTGAGGCTGGTCTCGTTCTGGCACTAGAGAGTATTTTCAATCTGTAGAGATTCCGTTCGAGCCGTGTCAGTTTTCTGATTGACATCATCAGGAAGGATAGAAAACCCAAATTCCGGCACGATTACTGTTGTTTACGTACTCAGCTGCAGACCTTGTCTCGTATGGCCAGGAGGTTTCACGAATAGGTTGATCTCCTTAGGATTTCGTCAAGTCAATCTCCGAAACTTATTCTTTACACTGTTAAAGGCTAGTCAATGTCAGTTTATCCAGCTGGTGCTCCCGGGGTACGCAGGGCGTTCCTTTGTCTTTCCTATCTGTGAATTCTCTGTTTTCGGGAATCTAGTGGGTACTATCATACGATAGGGAACTGCATGCGAATGATTGCACTACGGTTTCTCTATGCTCAGGTATCCTAATCGATTGTAACATCGCACGGAGTTTACTTTGTCTCAAGCAAATTCACCTGCCTTGGCCTGGACAACCTGGCAATATCCCGCCCACATGCAGATCATGGAAGGTTTTTCTTTTTCATGAAGATTATTGTACCATAATTTACTTGGCACACAGTCTGGATTCAAACGTGTGTGAAAATATACATGGATTTATATATTCAGATCAATGAATTCGCGCTTTCCTGATGGAGTATGGCGGTACAAGCGGATGTGTTCCACAGGGGCGCTGTTTTTCTGTTCAATTTAGTCAAATTGTTAGAGAACATCTCAATTGCTGGTACTGAATAGACTACTGAAGAAATAGTGTGAGATAAGGGGAATGCTGACGAAATCGTCTGCCTGACTATGTGCACAGCGCATTTGATTAACTAAGCAGCTTGCCCCCCCCCCCTGGCGGCATAGATTACGTTGGCTGGGACATGTGTTACGCATGTCACCAGGTAGGTCACCACGGCGAGCGATGTTCGCCGAAGCAGATACCGAGTGGAAAAAAGCCAAAGGTGATCAAGCTAAGATCTGGCACGAGGGTATGAAAACCCTAACCAGAAAATTGGGTCAAATAGGTCCTGTAAGGCTCCCTGTCTGGGTACCTCGGGATGATCGTAACCGATGGTTAGAGACACTGAGCGATATGACTGGGTGTCGCAAACAGTGGCGTTCGTGCATCTCAATTTCTCTGCAACTTTAGACCACTGAACTTCTCCATTTTCTGTTCTGACTCCACTTTCAACTTTCCTTTCTCCTATACTTCATCTCAATGGGCAGCCAAAAGATAGCAACCGAAACCGGCGCTCGGATATGCGTGGTTAATGGTTGTTCAAACTGAAACTGGCGGCATGCGTTTTGCAATCTCGAAATGTCAAATGTGTATAAATAGGCCGGATTCCATCTGTCCCTTTGTTGAATTTCTTTGCACAGATAGCTAAAACTCGAGCGGCGTCAAGAGAATTGAAACCTCTTTAACCTGTGCATGACTTTCTATTGACTTCGGAATGGTCGTGTACGGTTTGCTCTAGTGGGATCAGTTCTGGTTTACATTCTTGGGTGTATAAGTATGTCAACTGTTGGTTGAAGGCTTTGGACCATCGGTAGGAGGAATCAGACGGGTCGGCACCATCGAGGTGCCTATCTTAATCACAACGAATTCTGATTTTAATGGCTTGGCCACACTTGTTTGTGGCCCGACTGTATGCCAAACAAATCATGGTACAATAATCTTTATGAAAAAGGGAAACGTTCCATGATCTGCTTGTGGGCGGAATACTACCAGGTTGCCCAGGCCGAGGCAAGAGAATTATCTTGAGGAATCCATAATCTGAGCCTTCAGCTAGCCAAAGCCTGATCCGCAAGGCAGCGGGGCGGTGTGTAAAAATCGCAATCTATTGGGAGCCGATGTCCAGTTCATCGGATCATACACCTTTCGGACGGGGTCAAACGTCCAAAGTGCCCAGTCGAGCCGGTGACCACTGCCACAACCGAAAAGGTGTGTGTGGTTCTTACGCTTCTTCATGGTTCGTTTGGAATCATGGATTTTTGCCAACCCCCTCAGATGAACTACCAGTGATCCACCAACCCGGATGTCGGCTTTTTGTCCGCTCACTTTGGTGAGAACACACCACCACGAGAAAGCAGTGAGTATGGGGCTTCCTGAGCAGAGGTTATTTGAAACGCTCGGTCGTATAGGAGCATTTCGCGAGGTGTAAGGGAAGTGTGACCAGTCACGATCCTAGAGACCCATACCCGGGATTTCGGAGGTCATCAAGTTGTCGACCTCACCATACTCTGGTTCACAGTTGCTGTTCACTAGTGGACAAAACGACTGTGAAACGGGCGGTACCTAAATCCACGGACTGATAAAGATGTTTCTCATATGTCTGATCCAGTTATCATATATGCTGTAATTGATTGATGAAGGGACAACGATGGTCTTGCTATCATTTGGATCAGATCGGAGTTCTTTTCATAACAGAATAATGCCCTGTCTGGTTAAAAAAGGGTAAACTGTAATGATGGTTTTTGGTTGTATTCCGAGAGAAAATGTTTAATACAATAAGGATAATTCCATTGATTTTGCTTTTACTGGATTGATCATGTCTATAAGTGGTGAGGGAAACACGGAGCGATTTCAGGTGGTCCACATTCTTGCAATTCCTGGGAAAAAAAGGAAGAATAAAATCCACTATTGGGGCCCTGGTCACGATTAGTTGATAAACGTGGCTGGCAGTTTGTGCACGGAACTGGCACGACATGACCGGTCTCATAGGAACGAAATTTATACTAATGTCAATTAAAAAGGCAAGGAACTCTTCAGTGTGAACCGAATCTTTATCTTATCTTCAAGTCCTTGAGTCACACAGCACTCGACGACCAACAGTCGCAGTGTTCCCTGACCTCCAAGGACCTATCGATTCGCTTGCTTGCGATATCCTTATGAGTTCGCTATTTAACAAGCCGATGCTCGATCGAGGGAAGTTCTTTATTGCGGATTACTGATGGGATATTATTAATTTGACTTACACATCACAGAAATCTCATCAGAACCGTACCATCACAGTTCCTGGCTGCACGGTGGGTAGTGAATATAGTAGTCGATAGTTATTGTTTGACATTAGCAATTTGCCCTCGGTTATCTTGTTAATTTTTGACCGAAATAGATCACCAACCATGTTACCTGCTACTCACAAATGTGAGTGGTAGTACCTCACAACACTAGTAGCGTAATGGTCTACGATGGGCTAAGCTAAACGATCCGAAACCAGTAACGGTGTTCGTCAAGAGTGCCCCTCTTCTATCATTCCTGTTTAACTACTGGACCACGCATTTCGTGATCTGTAGAATGTTGATATTGGATGAGCAACTGGAGAAAAGCTGTACTATTTAGGGTACTCTGGCGATCATATGCACGACACCTTTAATGATCCGAACCAATGCGTATGTAGGACGATGACCAAAGTGTGAGGAACATCCCGTCATGGAGCTAGTATACTGATTAT